ATAATAATGTGTTTAATAAATTGATTATGATGTATTCATGTAGATTTTTCTGATTTAGTGATAGGTCTACTCATAACAAACTGACTGACATCATGCAGCCTTTCAGAACATAAAATGACACTGTGCCTAACAATGGAGACACAAAAATAATAACTTTTGTCAGCTTTATCAATCTGGATCAGATTATTAAAATAAAATAGGTCTATAGGTTCCTTCCTACCTTGGTACCACAATTTATACTACTTGCTACAAATTAAATTTAAAATATACTTATAAATAAGCCTATCATTTTATACTGGCCAACATAAGATTATGCTTTTAAATCAATAATGTATTTCATGAAGATCACACAACTGACTAGAATGGATTAAAAAAATACTGATTTGAATAAACATTTTAGATATTCATACTGTAATTGTCCAGCAGCACCTTCATCATCATCACTCACATCAGGGTCCCTTAGCTGCTGCAGAAACTACTTTTAAAAATACTAAACCCAATACATTTTAGGATGCAGTCATTTTATACTTTAAAAACACCCAACAAATGTTTCTAATGTGATCATTTTATTCTTGCTGATAATAATAATACCAGCTGATCACTCTGTGCACTTCAGCAGATGCTGTAAATAAGAGAAACAAATGTTCACTTCATGATAGCTAACATGATAGCTAACATGATAGCTAACATGATAGCTAACATGATAGCTAACAACATGATAGCTAACGTTAAGCTTGCTGTAGCCAGCGGCTAACTGCACTAACTTCACACAGGGAAGAAAACAATCCTGTGGAGAGAGTTTGACTTACTTTCTGCCTTTTTTGTAAAGAATCTCCTGATGGCCGTAGTGTCTGGAGGGATCAGATATTGAAACAACCATCACAGTAGCTGATCATCACCTGTTGCTCCTGCCTGCACTGCTGCGATGTCTTGTCTTGTTGTAGGTAACCAGGAAAATCCAGAGCGAACTTTAGTGCCTCCAACAGCATCACTCAACTTACTGTTTGTTTGAAGAAAAGAAAATGCAAAGTTTTTGCTTTTTGCTGGCTCTGGCTGGTTTCTTACAGACACGTTGAAGCTCTGCTCAGCAGGACTTCTCCCCGCGGTGCTGCAGGTACACCGGCGTTTTGTACACGCACGCTTATAGTGCGTTTAAAGACGGCTCGGAAAAACTTYCAGCATGTTAACAAATTAAACGGGTAAAATCGGTTTAAAAAGTGCGGGGACAGAAGGCACAGACACGAGAAGTGTTGGGGACATGTCTCACATATACCCTGCATCTGTTATGCCCATGTTACTTTGCCAAGTAATAGAAACAGCACAGTTTTTTTCCCCCACTTTCTTTGTG